ACCGTCGATCATGAAGTTCTCCACGATCTTCACTGCCCTTCTCTCTGTTGCCACCACGGCTCTCGCTCACAACGGCACCCACACGAACGAGAAACGTCAACTGGCCGCGGTGTACACTTCATGCTCGGTCCCCAACACCATCGCTCTCACCTTCGACGATGGCCCCTACGACTACATCTACGATATCGCCAACCGAATTAACGACGCTGGTGGCAAAGCCACTTTCTTCTTTAACGGCAACAACTGGCGCTGCATTTATGATAAGGCGGACGCCATTCGATACGTCTATAGCCAGGGACACCAGTTGGCCTCACACACCTGGTCGCACAGCCACTTGACCCAGTTGAGTTGGGACCAGTTGCATGATGAGATGTGGAGGGTTGAGCAGGCGCTCCAGAGGATCGCGGGTGTTACACCTGCGTTCTTGAGGCCGCCATACGGGGAATACAATGATCAGGTGAGGCAGGTCGCGGCTGCGAGGGGACAGCAGCTCGTCAACTGGGATTTCGAGTGGGTTATTTATCATGATCTGAGTGTTATGGTTCGTCGGGACTGACGCGTTCGTCTGTGTAGCTCCGGTGACTCCGCCGACCCTCGTCCTTCCGATGGACAACTCCGTTCCAACTATGGCCACCTTCTCTGGGACATTCGACCGAACAATGTACTCGCATTGAACCATGAATTCAACTGTACGTTCGCCTCGTCTATTTTTGAAACGACTCGGGACGGTTGCTGATTTATCCATCCCTGCCATTTTACCGTTGTTCGCGTCCTGTCAACAGACGACACTGTCTACAACGTTATGTGGCAAGTCGTCGAATGGGCCAATCAACTCAACTATAGGATGGTCACCGTGGCGGAATGCCTTGGTGGTCAGCAGCCGTACCAGAACGTTGGGCAGCCGGAGAATGTGAGTATCTTCATTCTTGTCTTAGTCGTGGAGAGACGCGCATTATACGCGTTTCGCGCCATTCCCATCGCGCATCCTGTCCTTGTGAACGATCGTGCTAACTTGTTTTGAAGGGAAACTGGCAATGCTAAGCGCCCTCGACTATGGACTTAAATACGAAATGGATGAACGTTGCACGCGTTTCTCTTTTCTCGTTTATTTCCCCTTCATCCAGTCTTGGACCAAAGAACTCGAACTCAATACCCTGCATTCTTTTACTGATCTCGTTTGCGATTGCTTTCGGACTTGACTTACCTCATGTTCGGACCCTTTGGACTCGTACTTGATTTATGAGTATACTTAACGTTGTAATGATACCTTTTCCTCTCAATTCTGATAACTGTTTGTTTCTCTTTGATTCCCTCCGTCATTCACCGTACCGAATTGAGTATGGCGGCGGCCAAATTTGAGTGATTGCCTTGTGAGCCCGGAACTTCTCGACCTACACAGTAACTCAATGTTTGTTGAATCGAGGCCACCTACATCATAACGGCAAGAGAATTGACGCTGGTTAGCTTATCCTCAAATGGTTTAACCTCGAGAGAGCGCGTACTAAGGTAACAGCACTAATATCATGTGGACTCCCGGCCAAGATTGTTTTTTTTAATTCTCGACACTCTGCTTCCCAACATCTAACATGCTACAGCAACCGCGAGTTTTGAAAGGATATTCATAGCTCAGACATAAAGCGTTGATGAATTACACCCGCGTCCGCGTCCACGTCTCACCAGGAATAAAACCCATCAAGAATCAAATTGGTAATCTCCTGTGGCGGTAGGTATGTTATACGAGTCAGAATTCTATATACCGTAGACGGTTAGATCCATAGAGAATTACAGCTTAAAACATAGGCGGATAGACTGTCGTCGGCCATGGACTTATCACCGTACTAAGTAAGATTAGCAGCGAATTTCCGAGCGTCCCGTGTCCTGCTGTCAAGATGAGAATGGATTTGAAACTTTGAAATGGTCCCGGAAGATGGAATCTGGCGAAGACGGTGTGTGGGGTGTGGGTGTTGAGAGGGATAAAGAGAGTGAGTCCCCGCGTTCGGGCCTGGCCCCGACACACGGTCACATGATGCTTGGAAGCTAGCCATCAAAAGCTTCGAGACTCGGAACGTGCTCTTTCCTATTTCAGCTCTTGAGTCTCCAGCTTAGATTTGCTGGAACTTGCAAGCAAACATCCTCTCAGCGTTTTCTCAGGTCATGTACTTACGGTACCGGTCACTCGGACCCAACGAGGCCCAATCCAAATCGTGGGCCGCAGTGGCACGGGCTTGGCTGATACATGGCTGATACATTTGGTAGCCCTCTTCCCGTTAGTTAGTACATAGTACAGCCTGCAGTAGCAAGAGTCTCTGAACCTGACCGATTTGGCTACGTGCCACATTTCCCTACGCCTCATAGTTCTTGCAAGAATGAAAAAGGTCGGGATGACGAGTGCCAAGAAAGATGAATAAACTCTCCCGCCGCGTATGCCCTTCAAAAAGAAGTTTGTACAGCAGTACAGCCCATAAACAAGATCCTGTAAGTATTGAGAACGCCTCGATTACGCTCAGGATAGTCAGGTAACTACATAATCATCGATCTCCACCGTCTCTTCTCCTGTAGTCATGGGTTTAACGCGACAGCTAACTTCTCCGTCGTGAACATTTCGATTCCCGGTATAGAGGGTTCCTCTAGAGCGACAGATGGACTGTCGGTAGTCGCTTCAGGATATGCCATGATAAACTCGGAGTTGGATGTGGCGGAAGGTGACTGTCTAAAGAGAGCGCAAAGCTGACCTCCCGTCGCCCAGTCGAGATCAACCAAGGCAGCTAACAGCCACCGACGCGCTTCTGGAAGATTGAAAGCGAGTCCCGACGTGTGAGAGTTTTGGAGGTCGTTCTGATGGGCGTCGAGAACAAGCAAGCGCTCTCCATTGAATTGGGAGTTGCCCTTGAGGCTGAGCACTTCAGCTTCTCCGTGCAAATGCCGATCCATAACCTTCCTCAGGACAGCGGGACCCTTAGCTCGACACTAGCTTCGCTTGGCGCCCTTGGTTTTCTTCACTGGGTCCTCGTCCTCTCGAGTCTCAGTACGTAGATCACATCAATCTGCCACCCAGTCGTTCGAGACAATCCAGGAATGAGGAGGATAACATATGAGCGTCAGCGTCCAAAGAGCTGCACATGAAAAACAGAGATAGGGCCATGGTGGCGTTCCCAGGTGTAATGATTGCTCTCGTCGAACCTGAGCCCCATATCGACGTCAATGTCAACTTGTATTCACAGGGGTTCTCCGGTGAGTCAGTCTCCAGGGGCTTATTTCGGTAATTAAACGCCGCTTTGCATAAGAGGTGTCCATCAAATTCGACTGGCTCGACATCATGTCAAAGCGAAGACTCATGATGATCTTTCAGGCTGAGAGGCACGAGTGGCTGGGCCTTTTTCTCGAGTATATAAGATACCCTCTTCTGGTACAAGAATCTGCACTACCCATCATCGTAGTCCCTGTTCTATCCCCCCCGGGCCCATACCCATCACCCACCCTCTGATCATGAAATTCTCCACCGTCTTCACTGCCCTCCTCTCCGTTGCCACCCTGGCTCTCGCCCACAACGGCACTCACACATCGAACGAGAAACGCCAACTGGCCTCCGTGTACACAGCATGCACCGTCCCCAACACCGTTGCCCTCACCTTCGACGACGGACCTTATGATTACATCTACGACCTCGCCAACACGATCCACGACGCCGGAGGCAAAGCCACCTTCTTCTTTAACGGTAACAACTGGCGCTGCATCTACAATTTCGCCGACGCGATCCGTTACGTTCATAGCCAGGGACACCAGTTGGCTTCGCATACGTGGTCGCATGGTAATTTAAACACGATGGGGAGGAGTCAGTTACATGAAGAGTTCGGGAAGATGGAGCAGGCGTTACAGAGAATTACGGGTGTTGTGCCTGCGTTTATGAGACCGCCGTTTGGGAGTTATAATAATTTGGTAAGGGAAGTTGCGGCTGCAAGAGGGCAGAAGGTCGTTATTTGGGACTTTGAGTGAGTGGGGTTTTTTTTCGTATTCTTGTTGGTGAACTAGGACCAGGACTGACGCGTGTCTTTTGTTTGTGTGCAGCTCCGGTGACTCTGCCAGTCCTCGTCCCTCAGCTGGCCAGCTGCGGTCTAACTATGGCCATCTTCTGTGGGATATCAGACCCAACAATGTGCTCACTTTGAATCACGAGTTCAACCGTACGTCTTTCGTTCTTCTTTTACAGTTCATTCGGGACGCTTACTTATCTGTCTGCCCAACAGACGACACCGTCTACGATGTAATGTGGCAAGTCGTCCAATGGTGCAATCAACGTGGGTACAGGATGGTCACTGTGGCAGAATGCCTCGGTGAGCAGCCGTATCAGAGCATTGGGTCGCCGCAGAATGTGAGTATTTTACTTTTTATCTTCCTTATTGGGGGGTACGCGTCAGACTTGTCCCCTTATAATCCATCTCTTCCCGACTCTCATGCTGACTTGTTTTTTAGGGAAACTGGCAGTGCTAAGCACCAATACTTCGCCCTGAACCTGAACTTGGACGTTGCACGCTTTTCTCTTTTGTATCGGCCTTGGACACTCGAATCCCAAAAATACTCGGGACCATTTGCAACTCTTCTTACTACTCATCACTCGAAGTTTCTGTTTTCGTTTTGAACTTCACTTACGTGCATTCTTTGGACCCACGCGATGAGTTTCGCTTATACTTATTGTTAATATAGCAAGTGGCTGGGTAGTGCCAAGTTGCACTGGAGTCCGACACTCAGATTTCCGGTTTGCCTATCCAATGATCGCGCTGTACTTTACATATCCTGATGAAAGACCGGAATGTTTATCATTCCAATCTGACCCACCTCAGGCTGGAGCTTGGCGACCTGCCCAAAAACAATAATTGATTAATTTGTCCCAACAAAACATGAGTCGATCGTTTGTCGAGTGCCCCCCGATTACACACGCGCACGCTCAGTGAAATGGATATCGAGAAGATACAAGAACCAAAACAGCACCTTAAGACACACATTGACCACCGCAGGGGTCGAACCTGCAATCTCCTGATCTATATAGAAACGCCCTACTGTTCCTGCTCTATCGTAGTCAGACGCGATGCCATTTCGCCAGGCGGCCCATTCTCTCCGGGTTGTCGACTTGAACTCGAGGGGTAACAGAAACCGTCTTCAACCCGCTATCGAGGACGGACAACTCCTTATTTCTCTTTTCTCCTTTGTTTTTGTTGTCTTCGTAAATTATGCACATATATGTACATGGAGCACCCTGCTGTGTAAAGTAAATAACACGCTTGGAAAGGACAACACAGTTTAGATTCAAAAGTTTCAGTGTACTACATATTCACTGGCCGCCTGGCGAAATGGCATCGCGTCTGACTACGATGCATGTCATGTGCGTTCGGACTCGTCACTCAGTCCCCCTTTCATCCAGATCAGGAGATTGCAGGTTCGACCCCTGCGGTGGTCATTGGCACGACCAGTAGAAAGAACTCCTTTTTCTGTTTTTTTTTTTTTTTTCAGAGACATTTATATAAACCTTTTCTTCACTTACTGTACTTATTATCCGACTCCCTTACCCGAGTCCCGACTTCTCTTCTCTATTGCCTTGCCTTCAAACAGAGAACTACTCAAAAGGAAGACTCCGACAATAATCTAAGCACCAAGAAACGAAGACATCAAGTCTCGTTCCTACATAACATTCCAATTCGACAATTCGACAACGACAGTAGACTAAATCAATAGCTACGTTAGAGACAGGGATATACCGATACATCACAGACTTTCAAGATATGTACAAAACCCAACCGAGAGCAAAAGGAAAAGAAAGCCAGGGGTTACGTTCAACCATCAGTGGGGGGGCATAAAAAGACGTATCAACGCGTAAAAGAGAAACAGAGACCGATCTAGGTGTAAAGAGTGAAAAGATGCCGCAAGCAGCGTTAAACGCCCACCGATGGAACCCACGTTATATGTGATATCAAACCGAGAGAAAGCGGAAAAGAGAGAGGTAGCGGAAAAGGAGTCGGGAGAGATTTAATGAATAACCCTCCTGCCAAACAACGACCTCTGCTGGTGTGCGTGGACAGCAGCCTTCTTCACCTCAGCAGCAACAGCTTGAGCGGGGACTTGACGCTTGCCAACAGTAGCACCGTTGTTGACGGTACGTTTGGCCTTGCGAGAACGACGGCAGGTCTTGCCGGACGAACCAGAAGTGCTGTTGCCAGAGTTCTGGTTCTGAGACTCGCCTTGGTTGGAGTTGTCGTTCGAGTCGTTGTTGGAGGCGTCAGTGTTGCCTTGGTCCTGGTTCTGGTTATCAGTCGAACCCTGGTCCTGGTTCGACTCGCCGCTGTTGTTGTTGTTCTGGTCGTTGTTGTTGTTGTTATCGCCCTGGTTCTGGTTGTCGGTCGAACCGTTGTTGTCGTTGCTGCTGTTGTTGTTCTCCTGGCCTTGGTTGGAGTTGTCAGTCGAACCCTGGTTCTGGTTCTGGTTCGAGTTGTCGGTGGTGGAGTTGCCGGCGTTGTTCTGGTTTCCAGCGGCCGCACCGTTGTTGTTGTTGTTGCTCGAACTGCCAGAGGAACCACCGGTCCAGAGCTTAGGTCCAGGCTCGTTGAACGATTTAGGCGAGGTGAAGACGCTGTACTTGGCGAGGTCTCCGTTGGTTTCGTAGAGCCTACAAGGACGCAAGGATATTAGCACGGAAAGGATACAAAGAAAGATGAAAAGAAACACTCACGATCCAGCCTTGGTACCAGCAGGCAACGAAGTATCACCACCGTTCTCGATCTCAATCTGTGCACAGGAGACGTAGGACTGAGGGCCCGAGGTGTTGTCTCCATCGCGCAAAGGGTTGTGGACGGCGATCATCTCAGAGCGGACGATGTACTGGCCGTTCTTGAGATACCCTCGGGGATGTTGTGGGTGTAGCTGGAGCCGTCTTCGACGAGCTGAGCCATGGCCCAAACGCCTTCAGTCCTGTAAGGCTCGGACTTGGAGTTCATAGCGTTACGGAGCTGGTCGGTGATGGAACCGCCGTTGAGACCGCTGTACTGGATCTTGACCCAGTCGAGGTCGGCAGCGTTGGCGTAGTGCGACAGTCACCGTTGCAAGAGGCGATGTAGGTGACAGTCGGGCCCATGCTGCGTTCCGTTCCAGGGTCAACAACGATCTCGAGAAGACGAGGAAGAGGGGAAGACTCACGCATGAACCCAGCTACCGGCCTTGAAGCCAGCATTCGACAACTCGGGGGTAGCACCTTCCCACTCCCAGCGAACCTCATCACCTGGCTTAGCCTTGGCGACACCAGGCGCACCAGCGGCTTCTTCACAAGCCATCTTGTTGTCGTTGTTAAAGTCCTGGGGGAGGAGGTACGCTGGGGACGAGGCCTGGTAACCTTTGCGGATGGGAGTGTTCTGGTTCTTGGCGTCGCCGTCAAAGTAAATGTTGGGCGCGTCGTACCATGTGCCAGCAATGGAGAAACCTTTGGCCTGGCCGTGGGCAGAGACGAAGAGAAGTAGCAGGGAGGAGAGATAAGAGAGAGAGAATAGGGAGGAATGTTGTAGAGAGCATCTTTCTTCTTCGTGGAGAGTGTGGGTTTCTAGTCGTCGGATTCAAAGATAGTGAGGTGCGTTTGAGGGATGTAAAGACTGGTTTGGATGAGTAAAGCCTTTAAAAGAGAGATACAGACGAGCTAGAAGAGAAGAAGAGAAGAAGAAAAAGGAAAGCGTTGAAGGAGGGTGGGAAACCTGGTTCAAACTTTGTGAGTCTATTTATACCCAATCAAGAGGGGCCCGGTGGAGTGCCGTTGCCAGGGGATGTTGCTTATTGTTTGTACACAGCTACCGGTATTTCCGCACCGCACGAAATTTTTCTTGACACCAAAAATGGAGAAAGGGGCCTGACTTGTGCCACTGCACTCGCCTCGAACCCGAATGAACAGAGGCCAATCAACCTTGCTCTCTCCTGCTGGCAAGGTTCCTCCAACTCCTTTCCTTTGTTTCTCGCACCAGAAGACCAGACTGTTCCCGACTCGTCCACGTAGAATCCCGTTAACGTAACCGAATAAAGCCTTCAACCTGTCGTGTCCAACCAGGTCCAACCCTACAAAAAGCTTTTCATCTCCGGTCTACCAAGCCCTTTCATCCCCTTTCAAAACATTGCTCGCTGCATGCCGCTCAACGATCGAATATTCCTCCCGATCCCCTTGACACCCGTCTCATCGCAAGTAGCAACCGCAGTGCCGTTCCTGAGACATGAGGCTCACCGCAGTCACCGCAAGAAAAACAGTGCGAGTGAACGCTCTTTCAGAGTTCCTGTGTAAGGATTGTACCCTAGGTCAAAGACAACAAAGGACTATTCGCTGCTTCAACTTTGTGCCTCTGTACCCTTCGCAGCCTCTTCGTCTACGAGTGACCTATTTTTAACATGACTCACTTACCTTCTCACTCCAATGATTTACGAGTACCCGACGACCGGCGCCTGCTGAACCCGACTGGTTGCAGACGTCCTCTTCGTGGCATTCTCGCTTTCCGAACCGGCCGAAATATATTGACAGCCTTCTGGCCTCCAGCGAGGATGCAACGAGGGTGTGTGTTAACGTTCAGCTCCTCTCGTCGCGAAGATACAGGTGCATGAGCTCCATCATCTATGAGTTTATCCAAAAATGATGCATGAACGTCGAGTAAAAGGCTAAAGCTTACCGATCCGGTCCTTCGGAGTACCTACAGGACAAGGCGTGCACTTGCTTCATAAGTGACGAACCGGCAAAGTCCTTTCATAAGTAGGTTAGCTAGCTCTAGTGTGAAACGTTTTTAGAATTAAATAAAGTAGAACTTTGGGAGGAAGAGCTCCACAGAACTACTGGAGTAGTAAGAAACGCAATCCTTGCGTTCTCCTCGCGTTCTCTGTCCGACCAGTCGCTCGGTTGCACAACACAACACCCGGATTCTCAACGCCACCTCCACCCTTCTCCGACTTCGGAACTCGGGCTCATAACCACAGGCAAGCCTTCTTACGCCTATTATACGTCTGAGAGTAAACAAAACCGCGCATTCTTTTGCTATACAAACAAAAAAAATCAAGCTTTAACACACAGTGACCACCGCAGGGGTCGAACCTGCAATCTCCTGATCTCGATGTGCAGTGTGAAGAATCAATCGTAGTCAGACGCGATGCCATTTCGCCAGGCGGCCAGATAAAAGTTTGGTCTACTGGCTTTTCTCATACCGGTGTGTTTCGACCGGGGTTCGGGATATCTTGACCTCCGACTCCCGATGGATTGTCTATTGGTGGGAGTGGTGCATCTGACGCGATCTGCCAGATATGCCGCAGCAGATCCTCTGTGGGTACGGTTTGGCATATAGTTGACCGGATCAGATATTCAAACGATCTGAGTCTTTGAGATGACCACATGTTTTAGTCTATCGAGTGGCCGCCTGGCGAAATGGCATCGCGTCTGACTACGATATCCTTGGGTTAAGTATACCGTACATCATCAGGAGATTGCAGGTTCGACCCCTGCGGTGGTCAATACCTGATGTTCAAGTTTTTCTTTCTTTGCCTTTTCGTTCTTTTCTTCGAGTCCCAGTATATGTATACGGTAGTCAAGTCCCCAGTAAAGGTCGTGAAACTTGTTACTCTCTGAGATATGCGAGTTCTTTTTTCTTTTGGTCTTTCGAGCCTTCCGGTAGACGATAATGGTCAAAATAGGAAACTCGATATTGATTCACTTGCTGGCGGTGGACTGGTGGTTTGAACTCTTGTGGTCCGGGCTCCTTCTGATGTATTACTTGGTTCGGCATCATGCGTTGAATGTGTGAGGGGACATATTTGAGTAGGAGTAACATGTAATCTGGACGGGATAAATACTGAGATAATAAAGGTCGGGAGAATTCACATCATCCATAGTGTGGCACGGTGCCGCGTGTAGGTCATGGCCCAACTTGGCGTTCATGAACGTCGAACTGTATGCGTCTGACTTATCAAGCGGAACTCAAGGTAATGAAAATAATCGGAGTTCGCGGCAGTGATCCGGCTAGACGGGACTATGTCAAGTTCAGATTGAGCCAGGAAGACTGTTTCCACCTACAATCTTGCCCTCTTCAGCTGCACTACTAATTGTCAGTCGTGGATGCACCAACGTCAAAACTCCTTAGTTGAACTGTCTCCCCACTCGCCACAAGGATTCCTTGTTTGGATGATTGCCTTCGGATATGAATGATGGCGCGGCTGGCAATCATGGAGTGAAGCACTCTCTGAATGCTGGAAACCGGGGAGTCAATGTTTTAGAGATAGAAAACAAGAGGTGCACAGGTCAACCACGTACGAGGTGAGAATGTAGGTGTGGCGCTGTGTTGCGTCGGACGGTCAGCATTATATGAGCAGAAGACCGTGAGACTCAACGAACCGCATCCGTGGTAATCAGGATGATATTGACCATGGAAAATACTGTTGGACGCACACAGCAGAGAAAATGCGATCAACATGCAGAACTTGTGTATGCGGGCGTCAGTTTGAAGCTTACAGAAGAGAATGGCGAAGAATTTGATGCCTGACAGAAAGTTGAGTACCTTGAATCTTTGTGGTTTTCGTATGACTCACCGTCCTGATAGATGACTCTCACGACACCGGGCCTTCCACCTCCACGATCTAACCAGTGGTCGTAGTTAGAGCGCGTCGTTATTCGATCGGACATAAACCTCACAGGCTTTGACGGCCGGGATCATCATCAAAATAAAAGTCACTAATACGTCGTCAACTTCGCCACGTTCGAGATGGTTTGAAATGCCTCACCCGTATCGTAAACCATAACCATGGTCCAGGTCAAGTATTGGAAGTTATTACTCCCCGTAAGGAAACAGCCCTCCCAATTGGGGATAGGGAAAGGTATTTCATCGACTAGAATATAGCCGTCAGTAGTCACCTTCAATCGTAGCATATGTGATGTCAAAATCGCGACTCACATTGAATCCCTCCGATGAACTTCCAATTGGAAAAAACAATCGTAGCGAAACATCCAGTGTAAACCACGCCTAATACAACTGTGATATATATGTTTCGTCCCCAAACTGCCCACACCCGCAGCGTCATCAAGCCTAGCATGACAGGGGGGGAAACATGAAGTTACAGTAGAGTAGACATTGACAAAATGAATTTGCTCCTGCTTACCCTCCGAGAGAAGGAGTCCCACAAATGCCGACCCTGTACAAGCGTTTTTAGATAACGAAGAAGAAACCCACGGGCAAGAACAGACATCCAATAATCCTGGTGACGACGAGACATGACCCCGGGTCATGTGGATATCTAACTAACGAACCTCGAGTCAACTTCTGGATTTGAAGGGCGAGAGATAGATCAAGACCTACGATATATCCAGAGCCCCACGGAATCCATAAAGGGTAGATATCTTTGTAGTAAGTAGATTACTTTGACTGACGTGCAGGGCGACACCCATATATAGCGCAACTCCAGATTCAGATTGAGAATTGTGTCGTAGGCGTAGAGAGTGGCCGCGCCAACTTGCAAGGTTGGGCTCGGAGGTCAGACCAATAGTGCCTGCGACATGAATGTCATTGCCACCCGTACCTTGCACAGACTATCGCATGATGTCAGTTCAGGGACCCGGAGAGCGGCATATGAGCGACCTACAACAAATAAACGAATTTGGGCGAAGATACCGGCAAGGAGTAACAGGACCTCTTCCGGGGACATCGAGTTTTCCATCGTTTGGAGGGGGGAGCTTGAGCTTTTGGCACATATTACTTACCCGGTTTTATCTGTGCTTCTGCCCATGACTCCTCCTCTCGAGCTTGGGGAAAGAATCAGTGGTGTTCGTCTCGGTCATGGGTGCCTTTCATGGAACAAAAATCAACGAAGATCAACTCGAGATTGACGTGATGGTGATTTGACGGAGGTAGGGCAGTCTTGGCGCCACTCTCACATCGATTGCGTCCCCTAAGCATTCCAGATGATCAACACATTGATCAGCAATGGAGACAACACCTCCTGAGGATTTTTATACAGCCTTTGTCCAGAAGGTGATCGTTAACAAGCCAAAATGCTTGAAGGGTGGAGTTACCCGCGAGCAGCGCTTGTCCTCATGTTTGTCCCCAGAAGCGGTTAGGATCTGATCTATGAAAACCAAGCTTGGACATTGATATCGATCTGAAGAATCACTGGAAAATTCCGGTGATTCGTGAAATATGCATGAGCGATGTCTACCTCCACACAGTCGAACGAATCCGGAAACCAACTTCATGATAGTAAGTCGAATTTGAGGAAGGAAAGCGGTAGTCACTATGCTCTGTGCTCAAATGACATTGCGGAAGTCATCTGCAATTGGTGTTAAAAGACTGATGATCAGGAAAAACAGATGAACCCTACCGTTATTCGTTCCCCAGAAAGACCCTGTTCAAGTCAAGGGGTCCCGGTCAGTCATGAGGCATATTTCCTAGAGGCCCGACATCACAGTTGAGATTCTTCAGCGGTGTGGATTGGACTCCTCCAAGCACAGCATACCTTGAACCGCAAATGACACAAAAAGTTGTGTTTCTGACCCGTGAAGCGCGCGAGTCAAACCCCAAGATTGGAAACAGTAGATGCCGGTGGATGGTGGTACTAGGTGAACTTCCGAGTACGGAGCTTACCGTACACGGACCTGGCACGGTGGGAATCCGGCCTTTGGATCCGAGGAGCACATGTTTCGGAGTCGACTCCCGAACGATGCCTGGAACGCTGACGGTGGTACGACCAATTTGGACAAGATCGGATGGCTCTGGATCCCAAAAGGCTCAAAGAAAAGTGAGCGTGTACACTGATGTGCAGGGCCTCGGGCCTCAAACGTTCATGACATGTGCCTGATGCTGCTAGTGGTACTCAGGAGTCAGGCTATGCCTCTGGACGACGAAGCGGCCCCATAACCGAGCCCAGGCCGCTGATCATCGAAAGGATTGTTACTGAAAAGGTTAGTTCAGCATCAATGGGGACATTTGAGGAGCCACTTGTTGTACCGGAGTTCTTGACCTCCTTTGGATTGTAAATGTTCTCAGGCGAAAGAAACCATCGATGGGAGTAATGATGAAAGTTTGGCCCCATCTTTCGCGTCCATTTTGAGCAGAAACTGAAAATGAGGGGTGATAAGTGCCGATATCGTCCCCGGATCCTTGGAATGACAGACACGAGAGCAGGGCTTCGAGGTCTGAAAATACTCCAACTCGCAAGTCGTGGCATAAGATACCAGAGGAATTGCCGCGTGATCATATTCTTGGGTATCAAAACTGGGTGGGCGTGAAAAAGGGCGATGATGGATACCACGACGCACATACGGTCGGTGTGGCTTATGACGCCTGCAAATGGCACAATATGCGAGTAGAGGGAATTTGGTGATGTCTTGACAGTTCCTGTGGTGGAAAAGTGCAAGATTTCCATGAGTTGTATAAAGCGGGGCACGTATTGATGCTCGAGGAACCGTATGACTGTGGGCATAGTCTGTTTCACCCGAAGCCTTCTCAATCAACCTCTCGAAGTCTTCGATGGCCAATGCGTTGACGAATCCAGCTGCTGGTTCCTGTCGGTAGAATACAACCTCCTAATCAATTGGGTCCGCTGTAAAAATGGGGAAAATAAGATTCTGTCTTGATTCAACGGGGTGTATAGTATATGATGGCGCGAGTGTGCACTTTGGATCAAACTTGTGGATTTTCTCCGGGTGTATAGAGTTACGGGTGGTGGTGTGGCGTGGAAAAAGTGAAAGTCGGGAAATTTGATAGACTGATCGCCGCATGCTCAAATCATGCGTGAATTCGAGTTGATGACTTCGACTTGTCCGGAAGATCACAAAGATGAGTGAGAATTGGGATCTATAAGTTAGAAGCGAATAAAGATATCGTTACAATAACAATAAGAGTCACCGAGTCCGAATGTGTACGGTGTAAGTAAAGTCTAAGAACGAACGAAAGTAGTAGGCGGTAAAAGAGTGTAGAAGGATCTTTGTTTGAGTCTTGAGTGTCCAAAGACTGAGATGCAGGAAAGGAAGCAGAAACTGGAAACGCCTGCAACGTCCATCCATTCCAAGTCCAAGTCCTCGGTGCTCAACACTGCCAGTTTCCCTGAACAATAAATCAGCACGTTGGTCGTTCACAAAGGTGGTCAGGAGAATGAATAGGGTTGGCAGGAGATGAGGCCGACGCGTGAAGACGGAACAATGAAGTACTCACGTTCTCCGGGGACCCAACATTCTGATACGGCTGCTCACCGAGGCATTCCGCCACAGTGACCATCTTGTACCCACGTTCATTGCACCATTCAACGACTTGCCCTAGGACATTGTATGCGGTATCGTCTGTCAACGGAAGGGGGGAAAATCGAGTGGCGTGACGGATGAACTAGATTTTAGCAAGCGTCCCGAACAATCTATAAAGGATACAAACATACAGTTGAATTCGTGGTTCAAAGTAAGCACACCCTTGGTCCTAGATTCGATTTTCGATAGAACTTCGTCATAGTTGGAGAGGAGCCGTTCGGCGGAAGGA